AAACTTCAAAAAACCTAATCCTTACACTTCATTTGCTTCTACAACCCCCAAAGCCCTACCATCCACTATCTCATTTCCACAACAAAGAAGGTTTGAAGGCCAAAGGCAGACAGCAAATGCCATCAAAGAGCAACCAAGTCTAGATCTTCAGGGTAACGTTACACTCTTACCCTTTTGACCATCTTATTCTTAAATCAATATAAGAGCCATGCATGCTTTTTGTGCTTGGCTTCGGCCCTAACTGAAGGGCCATATTGAGCTCATCTTCACTTCTCATCAAGGGCTCAGCCCTGTTTGAAGCCCTCCCATCAATACAGCTTGCTTTCATTTGACCAATCTTGTATGTCACAATATTTTGGCATGCTATTTTTATGACTTATGAGCAAATTATTTCGAGCATACTCGTTTGTAAGAACTGATTTGAGGCATATTTATGAGCAACCTCTTCAACATGGAGAAGGGCTCAACATTGTTTGGTTGTTTTCCTATAATAGATCATTGTATTATATCTCCCTGATTTGGTCCAAATTTTTGCCCAAAATTAGTAGCCCTCTTTACTTCTGTTTTTGGACCTTGGTCCGAACTGAAAGTGGCCATTGATTTGGCCTATTAACTCATGTTTAATTCACACTTTTTTTCTGTTTGGTGAGATTATTTTGGTATACTTCATGGTTTTAGCACTTTTGAGCTTCATTTTACATCACATTTTAGCATATTTGTAATACTGATTTTGAGACGCATATACTGTAAATGTTCATGTTTTTTGGTCCATCTCAGGTGATTGTAGAAAGGAAAATTTTTCAGTTTGGGTTTTTGCTTATACCACTTGCTTTCTATTCCCTCTTGCCTATTCTTGCATGCTATGTTTCCTTTTATTCTATGCTTGCTGTTTGGTTCCATGTTCATAACTGTGAAAGTTGCATCTCTTGGGACTGTCTAGCTCTGTCTTTGCATGCATGTCCTATTGGCATGTTTTGGTATGGGCTATAGGCCATTCGGGTGCTTAATGGTTGCATTTCGGGACATTTTCTTGCATTTCATGTCATTTCGCTTCATTTCGGGACTGTTTTCCCATATTTCGTTGCTGAAATTCCTATGCATGCTTGCATATCATTTGTCGTTTCCATGTCTTTAGCATCGCCTCGGTTTGCGTGCCCGTGTGCAGCGCATTTTCGAGGCACCCTTTTTCATCCGACGGCATCCGATGTTGAGTGTGGCTTGAGGCTCAATCATGTTGGTATAAGCCCCATTTGTCGTTTCCATGTCATTTAGATCGCCTCGGTTTGCCGTGCCCGTGTGCACGCATTTCAGGCACTCCTTTTTCATCCGACAGGCATCCTGATGTGCAGTGTGGCTGAGGCCACTGCATGTGGTATAAGCCCATTTGTCATTTTTTTTTTTTTTTCCATGTCATTTTAGCATCGCTCGGTTTGCGTGCCCGTGTCACGCTATTTCTAGGCACTCCTTTTTCATCCGACGCATCCTGATGTGAGTGTGGCTAGGCTATGTTGGTATAAGCCCATTTGTCGTATTTCCATGTCATTCTACCATTGCCTTCGGTTTGCGTGCCCGTGTCACGCACTCGAGACAATTTCATTTTCATTGTATCTGCAATCGCCTCGGTTTTGCGTGCCGTGCGTGCACGCATTGCGACGTCATCTCATTTTCATTTGTACTAGCTCGCCTCGGTTTGCGTGGCCCGTGTGCACGCACTTCGAGCAATTATCATTTCATATGTATCTTGCCATCGCCTCGGTTTGCGTGCCGTGTGCACGTATTTCGAGGCATCTCATTTTCATTGTATCTGCCATCGCCTCGGTTTGTGTGCCCGTGTGCACGCATTTCCGAGGTATAAAGAAAAAACAAAAAAATTTAATCCTCATATTCTGTGTCTGTCTCAATCGCTCGGTTTGCGTGCCCGTGTGCAACACATTCCGGAGGCACCTCATTTTCATTGTAGTCTGCCATCTGCCTCGGAGTTTTGCGTCCCGTGTGCAACGCATTCGAGGCATCTCATTTCCATGTTTGTCTCATGGATTTAGCGTGCCCGTGATGCACGCATTTCGGAGGGCATCTCATTTTACATTGTATCTGTCATCGCTCAGTTTGCGTTGCCTCGGTGTGCAACGCATCTCGAGGCCTTATTTCCATTCACTATCATCACTCGATTTGCAATGCTGTGTGCACGCACATTTCGAGGCAGCTCATTCCATAGCATTCTGTATGTTGATTATATCTCGAAGTTGCCATTTCATGCAATATCATGCATATTCATCGTGCCGGAATAGGAGTTAGCCCGGGCAACGGGAAAACCGAAGGTACATTTCGTACTCCGAGTGAGAAATGTGTCTTCACATTCCCCAGTCACCGGACACTCCGGATATCCAGTGGGTTGTTTTAGCTGTAATTTCAATGTGCATTCATCCTATTGGTTTGCTGAATCGACTCTCGGCCTTGCCCGGTATCGTGATTGGTGGCACAGATCGAGACACGCTATATCTGTGCAAAATACATTGCTATGCCCCTTTTCCTGCATCTGTTGCAGGCAAAACCAGGATATCAGCAAAACCTTTTAGGCACCATTCAAGAACAGGCTGTCAACAAGAGGCTATATTGGGGCATTCCAGTGGACTTTCCCGCAAGACAATCTCGGACATGACACACATTCAGAAGCAAGGCGGCTCCCTGGCTTTGCACGCCAGTTTATTCTTTCTAAGTTAATTCTTTAAATTAATTAGAATTCTTATAGTTCTTTTAATTCGGGACTGTAACTATGACTGTATATTTATCAGGACCCTCTGCGCGAGGCACAACTGAATAAAGTGTCGTGAGGTGATGTATTCTTCCAACCCCACGTCTTTCTCCTTTTATTGTACCCTTAGTGATGGTTTAGATTAGAACTGGATATTAAATTGCCCGTTTCAGCATGTTTGCATCATTCATCTGTAATTGCATGCACTCGGGCTCGGCGCACATACCTATACTGCATCGTACTTTCAATTCCAAATTGTCTTTTTGTCGCATTTCATAATACATCTTTAGAATAGCCGAGCCTACTATAAGTTGCATTTCGGCATGTGTGCATTTAGGCATTTTCCTGTATACTTTAGGATCATACATGATTTCTAAATATTACGTTTCTAATTTTGGCTCGGGTACCCGGTAAATTCTATGCTTTAGCATCTTGCATGCGTGTGAGAGTTTGCCATGATAGGCATGCTAACCATGAGGGCTATGTGCTTATCTGTATATCTGCCTGAAGTGCCTGTGTGGTGAAGGTTGGGTATCTAAGGATTGGATAATCATCAATGGTTTAAAGCCTACCTGCGGTAGCAAAACTTCCCTTCAAAAAGGCAGAGCATGAAATGTTTTGTTCCAATTTGGGGCGACCGCGTCTATACTTATATAGCTGCGAGCAATCACGTACGTAACCTAGGCTAATAACGAATGATTCCAATGTTTCAAAAATTGATATCATGGTTAGTAGAGGCCGGGTATCTATGACCGGGCGCAGCGGGGGTGCTCACGAAGTGACCTTCCCCAATCGTACCATTCCGGCCGGAGCACTTTGGTGATGACGGACA